TACTAGCTGGTCAATTAATACCTGTAGTAACAAATTATCCAAACGAGATAGTGTCATTTAGATTTATTAGGCTCCTACCCAACTTTTAGACCTGAACAATATAAATTTATTTTGGTGATCACCGATAACTTCTCTAAGTGGGTTGAAATTATACCCCTGAGAAAAGCCTCCGTCAAAGCTATTGCAAATGCCCTATTTGAAAATTATGTATCTTGTTATGGAGCTCCTACAAAAATTATTAGTGATAACGGTTCCCAATTTATATCCGAAATTTTTTAACACATAAGTCACAGGTTGAACATAAACCAGGTTAAAACAGTCGTGTATAGACAACAATCAACTCTAACTGCGAGAGTTAATCATACCCTTCTACAAATGATTTCTAGTTTTGTAGAAGACAATCACAAGAGTTGGGACCAATTTCTCAAGGGATTTGAGTACGTCTTAAGAACGGCCATTCATGAGACAACAGGGAAAACGCTGGCAGAATTACTTTTAGGCAGAAAATTAATTACCCCATTTCAGAAGTTGGTGATGGTTATGGATGAAGCAGAATTTATGTGTGGTAATATCAAGAAAATTGTTTGAGGAGGCTAGGCAAAATACTAAAATTTAGCAGGAAAAATGGGCAAAGTATAATTAAAGAAGACTTGAGGTTAATGGTAGTTAAGGATCTGGTATTGGTACAGACACATCCCATAAGCTCTTCAAGTAAGAAAATTGTAGGTACATTCAAACCATATGAAGTCGTAAAAGTGGGGAATAATAATGTTGTGATTTGGAAATTGGGCAAACAAACAATGGTTAACGTAGATCAGGTATGGATTTATCACCAAAGAGAAAGAGATGAGGGTGTTGTGGAGTCAGAAGGATCAGATAATAATAGTTCTAAGGCAACACAGTTAGAAACTGAGGGTGATATAAGTTTAAACAGGGAAAGGAATAATATGGTGGAAAAATGGCGGGATAAACGAAAGTGGAACGATGGTTCAACTGAATCATTCATGAAACTGTGTCAGTTCAGGCAAGAAAAAAAAGGCTGTCGGAAAGAATTAACTGGAAGAAAAGTTGCCCTTCCTCATCGTGGTCGGACAACCTTCACATCAAGAGAAGACCACCTGGAAACCACAAGTTCAATAAGAGGAGTGTACCCTCCTTTATTCATTTTGGTCCATCAACAAGGAAGAGGATCAGAAGAGCAGAAGTCAATGAAAGACATGTTCCTATACAGAGAATCCAGTCCCTGTCCACCAAAAAAAAAAAAAAAAAAAAGATGTCAACAAAAGACAGGCACAGTCAGGAAAGAACAGTCTGGTCCAGACGAATCCAGCCAAGGAGATCAAGCCCTTATGACCTACAGAGCTGACATCAGTCCAGTGGAAGGCAGGAGCAATCCAGGATGTCCAGAATCCAATCCTACAAGCGACGGAGCAAGGGAACAGTCCACCAGGAGGCCTATTCTGAACAGAGAAATCAAGGTATCCAGAATCTATGAAAAAACCACCCAAGCTGGAGATCCGAGTCTATGGAGGTTCTCTGTGGGTAATCCACCAAAAAGAATATAAAGATCCATAACAAGGTTGTATTTTTATTTTCTTACTGACAAACAGACAGGTTATTTTTGCAAGGTGCAAGTCTCATTTTCTTAAAGTGTTTAAATTATACAAGAGTTGCCACTGAGCTGTTCACATTTTTCCTACTGTTCAAAAAATGAACTTTTGTATATATAAATTTTATTCCAAAAGTGGAAAACATTTGTTTATTTACATTTGTTTGCTACCTATTAAGACTTGTCTATTATACGAGAATTTCTTGTATTGTTTGTTCATAATATTGTATGTTTGAAAATTGTATATAATTATGTATGTATTCATGTATATTGATATATAATATCTGGTTTCGAGGATGCAGAGTAAATAGGAAAGATTAACCATAACACTAACAGCACTACACGAATGGAGAGGGAGTTTTGTAAAAAACCAAATGTGTTTATTTATATGAAGTATATATATAGTGTTGATTGATATATTTTATTTAAAAAAAAATTTATCAAGTTTTTATTTCAGGGTGGCTGACCCTGAATCTTGATGTCTTGAAAACTTTACAAAGGAAGACAAAGGTTAGTATCTAAGTAATTGTTAGAAATTAAGTAATGTGCATGACCAGGTTTTCCCTTGGTTCTCACACAAATGGGATGCACAGTAAGGATTCTTATGTACAAGAGACTGTCTTAAATTAAATTTAGGCTAGCTGTTTTTTGCATGTTCTTGAGTATCTAAATTCTAGACATGACATAAGAGTCAAATTTAAATTCTAGTTAGCAATTTTTTTAGGTATTAAAGTTTTTTAACGTAATTTCTATCAGGTCGTTGAGACCCTTGAATAAATAATCACATTTTCCTCACAGAGGGAATCGTAACAGATCTATTCGCAATCCTTCCACTAATCCTCTTGGGAAAATCTTTGGGTTTTCATTCGCTTTTATTCACAACCAACCCTAGATGAGATTTCTACAGATCAGGTATCACTACAAGTTATTGAATATTTCAAATATTCAATAGACGAAGATTTAAAGAGACGTGCGATCGGTCACTAAACCTAGAGTAACGTTAAGCTAAGTGAGATAATTGAATTGATCCTAAATTAAAGTGGTCGATATTTCTAGTTTTCGTATAATTTGCGCATCTTGCTATTTTTCCACTCGTATTGTTCATATTAAGACATTCTCTTCATGAATTTTAGTGAACCAGTGTTGATAATTTAATTGATCAATAAATAAGTTGATTTTGAATATGTCTGGTATTCCTTCCCTTCCTCCCACATATCTAAGCGGGCAAGATAGAGGGGGATATCTCTCACAAGTCAACAAAGAAAAATTATATTTTAATTACTTTTTATTAAATAGTTACAACAAATATAAATATGTACCCTAAAATCCGGTGTATAATGTGCACTTTTAACAAAAAATAAAATTGAAATTTAGGGGTGCACGTTATACGCCGGGTACAAAAACGAGAACTTTAAAAAAAATGAGTATTAAAAAAATTTAGACTTAGATATATACATCTATCGAAATACTGTTTATTTAAAAGAAATAACATACATTATGAACTTTAATTGTTGGATAACATGAAAAGGTCGGCATATTCGTCTTCCATAATATCTTCAGACACATCATCGAATTCTGTATCATTTTCACCATCTCTGTTACTCGCCTCCATAAATAAATAATCATCTTCCATTCCATCTAGACTGTTAGATATACTATATTTCTTAAATGACTTTTGAATCAAGTGAGGTTTAATTTCATTCCATGATTTTATTATCCACTCGCACAGTATTTCCAGACTGGCATGGCACATTTGGCCTCCTTTCGTAAATGATTTTTCTCCTTCTATCATCCACATATTCCACTGTTGTTTTAAATTTTGTTTGAAAGGTTTATTGATGCACACATCTAATGGCTGAACTAGTGATGTTAATCCGCCAGGAATAACTGCCATATCTGTGTTGCATAGCATTTTTTTTTTGTATTATCTGTTAGATGGGATCTGAACATATCCCAGACTAATAGACTTTGTGGATTTCATAAGGCCCCCGGACTCTTTTGCCCAATATTTTTATCCACAATTTTAGACCATTTTCATCCATCCGCCCTTTTTTATATACGTGAATAAAAACATCTTTCAGGAAATTGGATTTTGGCATCGTTTTTCTTTTAAAGATAACCATGGATTCTAATTTTGCGCTATAGGCTAAGTAGGAGAGCACTATTGTAAAATGAGATTTTTCGTGTCCTACTATTTTTATGTAAATTGTTTTCGTTCCTTTCATATTTATAGTTTTATTTCCTATCATATCAAATGTTACTGGGGTTTCAACTATGTTTTGAATATGTGACAGTAAATATATCTTTTGCTTTTGTAAGTCAATGACATACTTCTGGAAACTTATCAATTTGTTGTCCACGTCTTAAGGAAGCATTTGTGAAACTTTTGTTTTTTCTCACAGAACTAAATTATTGTGTGCCATAAATCAGCTACACCAACTGAAAGTTGCTTTAAAATTTTTACTTTCATTTGCATTCTTTTTTGACCATTTTAAGGCAAATAAACGAACACTGTTTCTTATTATAATGAATCCATTCTGGCGATTTTCTAGGACCCAGTTCGCAATACTTTCTTCTAGAATAGGCCACTTCGTTACTCCTTTATGTAAAGCACATTTCTTCTTTGGCATGTTAATTAGTGTCATTTCATTTTTTTTCCACTCCCGTATGGAGCTTTCACCAATATCAAACATCCTTGCTACAGCCTGATTTCCATTTTCTTTTGCAAATTGAATCACTTTGATCTTGAAACCGGCACTGTGTTTGCTTTGTTTACCAAGACCCATCTTTACTGCTCACTGTTTGAAGCATACTCAGTATTATTCATAGTATTGAATATACTACAGACAGCGAGCGTAATAAGTCTAAGGTTTATTCTAATTTATTTAAAAATTAATCGTCCACCTCGTACATCACACGAAAGGGGAAAAAGGAACCAACGCTTACAGAAATGCGCGGTAAAAATCCAACCATGGTGCCAATTTGGTCCCCCTTCCCTTCCTGCACTTAAGGGTTGTATAATTCTAGAAGTAAACTATTTTTTAAAAGAGAGAGAGCCTGGAATGATTTCTCCAGTAAATAATGACTTCAAAACATAAGAAAATTGCACACGTACATTTCAAGTTTTTTCGTAAAAAGGGGGGTGCGTTATACGGCGGAAATACCTAAAAATTAAAAAATACAGCTTTAAAGTATAGGTGCTCATTATATGCCAGATTTTACGACATATACATGACAGAATCACAATATTAAGTGACAAAATAGAAAGCAATTTTCCATTCTATATATGATATTGGATTATTTTTTTTGTTACTATTTATTCATTAATTTAATTTAATTATTCTAATAAAATAGTATAGTAAAAAATAAATCACATTCTCAGAAATTAGGCCATCCCAGGTGGGATTTGAACCCACTATCTTTCGATAAGAAGTTCAACGTGTTATCCATTGCACTACAGGGACACAACGTATGATTTTCCTTTCTATATATGCTGTTGGACTACTATTTTTGTTTGTCAGTATTTATTCATTTTTTGATTAACATTTGAAGAAACTGTATTAACATCAGGTGCCATCTACTTACTACAAGTTTAAAAAAATGTATTTGAACTTGAATGGATGAATGGAAAGTATTTTATTAACGACTGAAAATTTGAACAAGATATATATATATATATATATGTAAGGATAATTAAATTAGATTAAAAATAAAATTCCAAATCTAACACTTAACTCATCTTTCTCAATTCATCTTCAAGTATCAAACTAATCACCCATTTATTTCTTCTGAACATATGGCCTAGACAATAAACATGTCCAATTCCAGATCATTAGATTTAATAGCCCCATATGTCAGCATTAACTTTCAAGTACAATCATAAAAGCCGCGATACTTGCGCATCTGTGTTTTAAGTGGGTAACACTTAAAACCTCCCGTGGCATTCCTTTTCTCTCTCCGCTCAGCGTCAGAGCTTGTACAGATTTCATCGAATAAAGTTCCTTTTAAAATTAAGTCTGCTTCTGACTTCAAAAAACATGTCAGAATTAAAGCCGGCAGGATTTTTATCTGCGAATGGATTTCAAATCTTAACGTAAAAAACTAATCTTTTTATAAAAAAATTTTAATATAAAAACTAATGCAAGCGACCATAATAACTGATATGGAGAATTTGATGGAACTTCGATTGCGCTGTACGCCTCTTTGCTGATGACGTCGGGTTGCCGGAATTAATCTATGGTACGGAAAAAGAAGAAACGCGCTAGTAATCCCGAAAGAACATCGCTCTTACCGCCAAAGAATTAGAATCATCGTCTTCTCCTAACAAAATTTCAGAAATTCATATTTCAAAAATGGAAGCAAAGAACAAAAATAAAACTAAGCAAGAGAATTTAGAAGCAAATGAAGAAATATTAAAACAACCTATAATCATTATAAAAAATGATATTCGATTTGAAGATCTACAGACTTTTTCCAAAAATATAACCTGGAAATGCCCATCCAAACATTCATTAGAAATTTTGAAAAGTATTCCGATATAACAGAGAAACAAAAATTCCTATTTATAAAACAAGTTAGTAGATGGAAATCAAATCGAAAAATCCTGAAAAATAATTTATAAAGGTCCATCAGATTATCTTCAATTACCTAAAACAGAAAAACATCAAAAGAGACCAACATAGAATATTTCTACAGAATAAAAGAAATTGCATCCCGGATAAACATGGAAGAAGCTGAAAAATATTACATCATGAAAGGATTAAAGGAAAATAGATCAATAGAAATACAGTTACAAAGCTGTAGCAACATAGAAGAACTGAAGGAAAAAATGAAACTTTTAGATATCCAAGAAAAATCAAAATCAAACAGGAATGAAGTTATATACCCAAAGTATCCAGTGACAAGAATACCTCACCTTACGAATCAATTTGCCCGTAAACAACAGTATGGAAGATGGAATTGCAGAAATGATCACTCTCAACATCCAGATACCATAACCGGTTCAAGATACAATGTATACTCTCAGTTTCCATCACCTTCTTATCATCACCCATCCTTTTCTCTTTAGCGGCTGACCATGTATCTGAGAAACCAACGATTGCCACAACGACCAGCAGTTTTGCGACCAGATGCTCCAACTTTCTACCCCCGTCAAAGAACACAAGAAAACAATACAATAATCCAACCTCATCGAACATGAGAACTTATGATCCAGGGAAGAATCAACTTCAAATAAGTTGATGTCCTCTTGGATACAGGATCAAGAGAGAGTCAACATTATTCCAAAATATATAATATCACAAATCAAGGGACACCACAATGTGGAGTATGTCAAAACACAAATTGCCACCATCAATGGACAAATTAAGGTGAGTGAGGCAATTACTTTACAATTGAAAATAGGAGAAATTATTAAAGATATTAAATTCCTTATAGTAAATGTAGAACTGAAATATTTAATAATTTCTAACAAAACTATGAGTATTTTTGAATTAAATAGTAATTTTAGTGACTATAAAATTTTTCAAAGAGAAAATTTTTTTAAAAAAATTATGAATCTAAGAAAAATATTAAAGAAAATGAAACTCTTAAATTTAGTAATAATAAAATTATCACTAAGAAAACTGAAGTGTGTTTTATATAGAAATAATTATGATAATAATTAACATATGATAATAATTAACATATGATAATAATTATGATAATAATTAACAGTAATTATGATATTATTAATGTGGTTATTGATAAATATAAACATGTCTTTGCTAAAAATAAGTTTGATGTGGGCGATTTAAAAAGTAATTCACCTAAAATAATACCTCAGAAAATTACCTACTGCAAATCAACCACATAGGACATCTTTTAAAGGTGATACGGAAATAAAAAAGCAATTAGATGCATTATTGAAAGCAGGAATAATTAAACCATCTTATAGTTCTTACGCTGCCCCTGTAACGTTGGCTTTTAAAAAAAGAGGATAATGCTCGTACACGATTATGTATCGATTACAGAAAGCTAAATGCTATCACAAAATTAGATGCAGAGCCAATTCCCCGAATAGATGCAGTCTTAAACAAATTAACACATGCAAAATTTTTCTCAATGATCGACCTCTGTAGTGGTTATTGGAACATTAAATTAGATGATAATGAATCTGAAAATACTAAATAAAATTTGCATTAAATTACTCTGACGATATAATAGTACTTTCGGAAAGCATTTAGAGGAAATTTTTAAAATTTGTGAAATAGAAAGTATTAAATTAAAATTCTCAAAGTGTAAATTTGGTAAAGATACAATTGATTTCTTAGGATATGAAATAAAACAAGGATCATACATTCCAAATAATACAAATGTCGAAATAATTAAAAAACTTTTACCCCCTAGAAATGTAAAAGATTTACAAAGATTTCTTGGTAGTAAAACGTCTATTATAAATTCATTCCTCAATATGCAAAATAAGAATTCCCTTAAATAATCTTCTTATTGGACAAGATTGTGTCAACAATTATTTTCTTAAAGACAGCTTAATTTCAAAGCCCATTTTAGCTATATTCAATACCCGTCATCTTTATGTAGATACATCGAAAACTGTGATCTCATGTATCATGCATTAAATTACTTTGACGATATAATAGTATTTTTGGAATCAATTGAAGAACATGCAAAGCATTTAGAGGAAATTTTTAAAATTTGTGAAATAGAAAGTATTAAATTAAAATTCTCAAAGTGTAAATTTGGTAAAGATACAATTGATTTCTTAGGATATGAAATAAAACAAGGATCATACATTCCAAATAATACAAATGTCGAAATAATTAAAAAACTTTTACCCCTAGAAATGTAAAAGATTTACAAAGAAGTATTAACGTCTATTATAAATTCATTCCTCAATATGCAAAATTAAGAATTCCCTTAAATAATCTTCTTAAAAAGAATCAAAATTGGAATTGGACACCAGATTTGTCAACAATTATTTTAAAAACTTAAAGACAGCTTAATTTCAAAGCCCATTTTAGCTATATTCAATCCAAATTAAGAATCATCTTTATGTAGATACATCGAAAACTGTGATCTCATGTATCATGCATTAAATTAGACGATATAATAGTATTTTTGGAATCAATTGAAGAACATGCAAAACATTTAGAGGAAATTTTTAAAATATGTGAAATAGAAAGTATTAATTTAAAATTCTCAAAGTGTAAATTTGGTAAAGATACAATTGATTTCTTAGGATATGAAATAAAACAAGGATCATACATTCCAAATAATACAAATGTCGAAATAATTAAAAACTTTTACCCCTAGAAATGTAAAAGATTTATAAAGATTTCTTGGTAGTATTAACGTCTATTATAAAATTCCTCAATATGCAAAATTAAGAATGCCCTTAAATAATCTTCTTAAAAAGAATCAAAATTGGAATTGGACACCAGATTGTCAACAATTATTTTAAAAACTTAAAGACAGCTTAATTTCAAAGCCCATATTTTAGCTATATTCAATCCAAATTACCCCTGTCATCTTTATGTAGATACATCGAAAACTGTGATCTCATGTATCCTCAAACAACAAAAACCCAATGGAAATCAACATCCGATTGCATTCCATTTGAGACAACTGAGAAATTATGAAATTAATTATACAATAACTGAATTAGAATTCTTAGCTATAATTGATAGTTTAGATAAATTCCATTGCATTTTCTCACAGACCACAAACCAATGGAAAGGTTGAATGTGTAAATCAAACCATCATTACCCGCTTAAAGTGTGAAATTAGCAACAGTTCAAGTAAAGTCCCATGGACAAAAATTCTGGAAAAAGTAACCCATCAGTATAATCAAACTCCACATACAATAACAGGTTTCCCTCCAACCTACTTAATGTATGGTAATTTACCTTTCGAAAATTCACTAAAAGATAATGAGATATATCCTCCCATAGAAGAAGCAAGAAAATTAGCCAAAGAAAGAACCAAACAATATTATAAAATAAATAAGATTAGATATGATAAAAAATTTCAGGAAGCTGATTTCAAGGTTGGTGACTTAGTAATGTATGAGGAATTTCAATACCTCAATACAAGGAAATTAAGTCCCCCTTATTCGGGCCCTTATACCATTTTAAGAAAATGTTCTGATGTATTATTTGAAATAGATAGACCCAATGCCCTTAATAAAACTGACACTGAATTGGTTCATTCAGTCTGTTTAAGACATTTTCATCCATCTGAAAATTTTCAGTTGAATTACATTCGACAAAATACCCATAATAAAGAGAATAAGAAAATAACTAAAAGAAACCTCTTATGTAATACAGAAGTAACTGAGTTTTGCTTAACAAGACTTTTCAGCAAAAAAGAATAATATATGATATTTAATTTTTATAACATAGTTGTGTTAAATAAGATATTTTCTTTATTTTTTAATTGAGAAAACAAAGTGTATAGGTTTTGTCAT